GCGGAAGAGGCGGGATCGGCGCCTCGGGGCCGGAAGTGGCCTTGGAGGCGGAAGTGGCGCGGCCGCGGAGGAGCTTGGAGCACGGCAGCGGGACCCGGAGCAGGAGCAGCGGCGGCCGGCGGTGGCGGAGGCGGAGGCGCGCTGGAGGCGGCCATGGCAAAGCAGTACGACTCAGTGGAATGTCCCTTTTGTGATGAGGTGACCAAATATGAGAAGCTCGCCAAGATCGGCCAAGGCACCTTTGGGTAAGACTGGGCCCCGAGGGGCTGGAGTCTCTGGGCCTGCAGCCTCCAAAGCCGACGTCGGAGCGTCCGGAGCCGGCCCCAAGGCGCAGGGAAGCTGCCGGGCCGCAGGCTTGTCCCCTAGTCTCGCAAGGCCGCGTTGCATCCCGCCCGGGCCTGCAGGAGCTGGCTGGCGGGGAGGAGCCTGAGGCCTGTGGTGGGGATGGGGAGCGATTGCAGGGAAGCTGAGGAGGACAGTGAGACTCCTGGGTGCAGAGGAGGAACCGAGAGAGAAGGAAGCAGAGGCCCCTGGAGTGGGACGGAAGACCCAGGGTGGCGGAGTGGCCGAGTATCCCGGTACCCGGCAGAGCCCCTCCCGGGAGTGTCTGCTTTCCTGCTCCGCCTCCCGTGGTGGGGGAGGGGCGAGCCTGGCAGAAACGGCCTAATGCGCCCTCACGGGTCCCCCTCTCGGTCCCCAGGGAAGTATTTAAGGCTAAGCACCGCAAGACGGGCAAGAAGGTGGCTCTGAAGAAGGTGCTGATGGAAAACGAGAAAGAGGGGGTAAGTATGGGTCAAGGGGCAGGCCCAGCAGCTGCGCTGGGCACCCAGTGCTTTTCCTGGGAGTCTCACTCCACGAGGCTACACGTTTCTTGGTGGTCCCCTAAGAATCTCCACCTTCCAGGGTATTAGAGTGAGAATGAGTCTGAATTGATCCAAAGTCTTTTAACTCACATGGTTTTATTTTAAATATGGAAGGGAAGCTCATGATTGCACGGGATGTACTTTGGGTCACAGTTGTAGCAGTCCTTTAAAATGGCATGGTTTAGCACGTGATCTTGTGTCACGTAAAAATAAGTAAATAGATGCACGCCCAGGGCTTTAGAAAGTGAATAAGGGTCAAGAGATTGTATTGAAGAGAAACAGGCCCTCCCCCTAGCCCAGTTTATAGCTCTACTCCAGCTCCCTGGACAGCTATTTCTTAGCAAGGACACGTAAACGTTGTCTTTGTTGCCACACAGCAAGTTAACAAATGTAGCGCATCGATTTGAAGGTTGATGGAAAGCGGAACCTGCAGTGTGTGATAATAATAATGACTTTGTGATGAGTAAAGCTCGTCAGTCATTGTCTGGACCCAACTGTTTGAGGTGTACAGGCTACAATGACAGTTCCTCTATTGGGGACCTTATGCAGCTTGAGGGACCTGAGGCAGCTTTGTCTGAAGGTGGCGGAGTGGCTTAGGCTGTGGGCTGCAGTTCATGTGCCCAGCTGCTCCCTGGGCTGGGAGAAAGATGAGGCTGTCTTGCTGTCATCGGATGTACAGTCTTGGAAACCCTAGGGAACAGTTCCGCTCTGTCCCCTAGGGGTCCCTAGCAATCGGAATCCACCTGGTGGCATTGGCCTCAAGTTGGTTTTGCTTGTCCTTACTCTTTTCCAGTCTATGTGCCATAGTCTGGATCCCTTGGTCTGCGGCCCTCACACCCACTTTTGACCCCCTCTCGGTCTCGCACCCCACAGTTTCCCATCACCGCCTTACGGGAAATCAAGATTCTCCAGCTTCTGAAACATGAGAATGTGGTCAACTTGATTGAGATCTGCCGAACCAAAGGTAAGTCTTTGGGGACTTTGTCTCCCATTTCAGATGCCGAGAAAACAGGTGCATGGCGAAGTTGGAACCGGTGAGACTTAAATGGCTGGCAGCCGATTGTTGGGGCTGCTAACCGCACGATCGTTCCTTGGGGGGAAGGTGATGTTTTCTGCGCCTTTGAAGGATTAGAAACCTAAGTAACACAGAGTCCTTTACTCGTCCTCCAGGGTCGCTGTGAGTGGGAATCCACGTGAGGGCACGAGGTAGACACACACAGGGTGATGGCTTTCCCGGCCCCTCTCATTGTGGCCGGAGGAAACATTCAGGACATATCTTACCAGTGAGAGAACAGGAAGTGGATACTGTGGAGGGCATGGGCGGCGCGTGGATTAGAGGGGTTTGGAGCGGATGGTGGGAAAGTGGGTTATGTGGGGGATTTTTCATTATCTTTCCTCCCCGGTCTTCCCGCCTCAGCGTCCCCCTATAACCGCTGCAAGGGCAGTATATACCTGGTGTTTGACTTCTGCGAGCATGACCTTGCTGGGCTGCTGAGTAATGTCTTGGTCAAGTTCACACTGTCGGAGATCAAGAAGGTCATGCAGATGCTGCTCAATGGCCTGTACTACATCCACAGGAACAAGGTAGGGGCCAGAGACAAACCTTGGGCTGACCTCGGTGCCCACTGCAGGCTGGGTGTGGCCAAGGGATCAAAAGGAGCCTGGCTGAGCCCTCACTCCTGCCCTGCCTGTAGATCCTGCACAGGGACATGAAGGCAGCCAACGTGCTCATCACCCGTGACGGGGTCCTGAAGCTGGCTGACTTTGGGCTGGCCCGGGCCTTCAGTTTGGCCAAAAATAGCCAGCCCAACCGCTATACCAACCGTGTGGTGACGCTCTGGTACAGGCCCCCGGAGCTGTTGCTTGGTGAGTACTCCCAAGCGGGCAGGGGTGGGCCGGGAACCAGGCACCTTCCCCACCCCAGCCTCCCCTGCTAAGGCTTCCTGAGCCATTGACGCCAGGGCAGTGAATCTCAGGGGCCCTCTGACTCGGGGCCCTGCCGGTGTGTTCTCAGGGGAGCGAGACTACGGCCCCCCCATCGATCTGTGGGGTGCTGGGTGCATCATGGCAGAGATGTGGACCCGCAGCCCTATCATGCAGGGCAACACTGAGCAGCACCAGCTTGCCCTCATCAGCCAGCTCTGTGGCTCCATCACCCCCGAGGTATGTAGCCTAAAGCTCCCCTGAAGAAGCAGGCAGTAAGAGGGCAAGAGCCACGTGGCCTGTGTTCAAGACCTGACCCTGGAGCTTGTTAACTCTGGGGTCGTGGGCAAGCCATTTGAATCACTCATCTAAGAGCTGCTGTTTCCACCAAACACAGGCAGGCCTGTCAGGGTTGGACAATGTGAACTGGAGGTGGTTTATGTAGACTCTGGTACCAGACACTGAGTTCTTGGTACTAGCTGAAAACCCCCCTTTGACCTGGGTAAGGTGAGTGTTCCCTCCAGGCCTGTCTGAGGGGCATTGGAGTAGGTAGGTGCTTGGAAACCTCTGAGTAACAGACAAGTCACACAGCCACTAAACTGAACTAAGGCCATCTCATTGGACTGTTCCTTCTTCCCAAGGTGTGGCCCAGTGTGGACAAGTACGAGCTGTTTGAGAAGGTGGACCTGCCCAAGGGCCAGAAGCGAAAGGTGAAAGACAGGCTGAAGGCCTACGTGCGCGACCCTTACGCGCTGGACCTCATCGACAAGCTGCTGGTGCTGGACCCCACGCAGCGCATCGACAGTGACGACGCTCTCAACCACGACTTCTTCTGGTCCGACCCCATGCCCTCAGACCTGAAGAGCATGCTGTCCACGCACCTGACGTCCATGTTCGAGTACCTGGCGCCGCCACGCCGGAAGGGCAGCCAGATCACCCAGCAGACCACCAACCAGAGCCGCAACCCAGCCACCACCAACCAGACGGAGTTCGAGCGCGTCTTCTGAGGGCCGTGCTTGCGTGGGGACTTGCGCTGTGTGACTTGCACTGCGGAGATTTTCTCTCTGGCGCACCGTTTAATGTCTACCTTGGGCACACCCGACTGAGCAGACAGGACAAAGTTTGGCCGAGGGCCCTGGGGCTGCCTCCCTCTACTCTCCTGACTTTCTGGATGGCCGCTTGGGACCTCTCCATTTCCCTTAGGACAGGATAAGGGGTCAGGGGGGAGGTCTCACCTCACCAATGGCTTTCTAAGAGTTCCCAGAATGGGAGGAGAGGGCAGTCCTTGGCCCATCCCAACGCTGGTCTTGGGATGAGAAACTTGTACAGAAAACAGAACCCGCCTCGGGAGTGGGCGGTTCTTGGCCTGATCCTCAGAAGCATGGGGGTTGGTGAAAGCTCTTGGTTTCTTCCGTAGAAGAATTTGCATCATGTTTCTTCTGTTCAGTTGTCTTGGTCGCTTGGAGACATGTCTAGACAGAATTTGGTCAGTTGCAATTAAAAGTTGGCTGTTCTTTTTTTTAAAAAACGCTTTCTGCTCGGTGTTCTGCTTTCAGATCCCAGGCTCATCTTCCCTGCAGCCAGCAGGTTGGGCCTGACAGCTGGGCTTTGATTTTTGTCACATCACCGGAAGCCCTGATTCTCTTCTTTGTCCCTATTCGTGTCCCTTACACTGTTGCAGGCCACTGTGGTCTTTCCCCCCTCTCCTTGGGGACCCACACACTCTTCTCCATACTTAGCCCCACAGCAGGTGCAGCCCCCATTGTGTGTTTTCTCAGTCTCGGAGGAGAGGGAAGGCAGGTGAGGCAATGGCAGGGAAGGTCTGCCACGGTGACCCAGAGGGGGACTGTCCACTGTGCCTGACAAGGGTCAGTACAGGTGTGAGCTTAACCAGGGACGCTGCACATGGGTCTTAGCGACTGTGAGGAAAGATGTGACTTAGGAAGGTCCCTCGGGGTGCTGGGTGCAGAGGAGGACTAGGAGGTGAGAGAAGATGTGACTGCAGGAGGGGAAGGCTAGGCTGGAGACAGTAGCTTGGGTCCTGGTGGTGTGGACAGGAGAGGCTCCAGCTGGGGCTCTGAGCAGCACATTCTAATGGGTCCATTTCCTAGGGACCTGAAGTCGGAGCCAGGCATGTTTGAGGGGAGCTGGCATCATTTCCAACAAGAACAACAATGGTGAATGTTGCCCTGGATCGCAACTTTACGAAAACACAAAAGTAGTGTGTTTATCGGGCTGCTGTAAAAGATAACGTTTATACCAAACAGACTGTTGTAAAAACAACAGAAGTTGACTATCTTCCGGTCTAGAAGCTTGGGTGTGATAATCCAAACTCCATAGGTGGGGGTGGAATTGATCTTGTTTGGTGTCCCTTGACTGGTGGGCACATTGCCTCCATCTGTCTTCTGTGTGTGTGTGTGTGTGTGTGTGTGTGTGTGTGTGTGTGTGTGTGTGAGATAAGGACACCCATCATTGGATTTCAGGCCCACCCTAACCCAGCATCCCCTCATCATGATGCATGACTTTCACAAAGATCCTATTTCCAAATGAGGTTCCCTGCTCAGGCTCCGGTTGGACATGAACTTTACAGGCCGCTTCAAGCCTGTACCATTCGTAATCAAATCTAAGTTAAAATAACAGTGTGGTTGGAATGTCTGGCAGATACCTGATGGGAAAACTCCTACGTAGCTAGCCTGTTAAAAAGGGTTTTTGTCCTGAAGGATTTAAAAGATAGCCAAAAGGTAATGCTCTTTGACCCTACAATTCCCCCTACAGAAATGTATTTATGAGGGATTGCGTGGTGGTAGTGTAGTGTACCATCTCACTGAATCCCTAGTAAAACGGATCACTTCATGTGAACGCACTGTGTTTATCAGATGTCTCTGAGGGCCGGGGCTGTCCCAGATGCACTCTGTCCGCAAACTGAAACCGTGGCCCACGCAGCCCCGTGGAAGGCCAGCTCTCAGCTCAGAGCCAGTGGACCAAGGGTGGCGGAGTACGGCTGCGTGAGGGGACAAGGACGGGCTAAGCTCTAGCGTGAGGCCGCCTTCTGTCTTGTGCAGAGAAGGGACATACTCTTATTGCTTCCGTAAACTACGACGAGTTTGTGTTGTGTGAAGTACAACTTGATCAGAGGCTATTGCAGTCATCCGGGTGTGCATGGTGATGGGTCAGGCCGAGCTGGTAATGGTGATGCTGGCTGGGAGGGGGGTGGTTGGCATTAATGGACAAACTCAGGGTAGCGCTGACGGGGCAGACTTCCAAGTTGGATGCCAGCATCAGGTGGCTCACATGGTTAAGTGTTTGACTGGTTACCATGACCCAGCAAGCGGGACCCACCTGGCAGTGCCTTGAATGAAAGACATGCCAACCTGCTTGCAAAGGGTCACGGCTTTGAAAAACTTTATGGAACAGAGTTCTGCCTTGCAGCAGACAAAGTCGCGGGTTGAGATCCACCCGACAGCAGCTAAGGCTTGATGTGGGCACGTGTGCCATGAACGGACGTAGGAACTGAGATGGGGGAAAGGAGAAAGGGTTTGGCCTCCCCTCATAAGAAGGCTACCGCTGGCTTAGGCTTGGCTTCATGGAGGTGTTGGGTTTCAGGAACCAGATAGGCACCCATGTTCAGTTGGGAGGTGTGTATTGGAGACTGGTAGGGGCCCCAAAGTCAAGAGTTTCAGACAGCTTAGGTAGTTGCCCACAATGAGTTTTAAAGCTCTTAGGTAGCATGTGTACTTGGCTATCTCAACCCATCTCAACTCCTATACCCTAAAGGTTGGAGGTTCTAATTCACTCAGGAGGAAATCAAGTCTCAAGGACCCATAACAAGTAGATCTAGTTAGTGATCAAAACACTCTCAGTGAGCCGGAAGACTTCACTGGGGGATTCCACCAAACCCTTTAGACAAGTCTTGATTCCAACACCATAGACATGTTTCCAAGAGATACAGAAGGAGTACTCACTGATACATTTTATGAAGCCAGGCAGACCAGGGAAAGTAAACGACAGGCCATTATCTCTAGAGAGTAGTGATGTGGAAGTCCTCGACAAAATGCGAGTGCATGGACTCCCAGCAATTTGGTCAAAAAAACCACACCAGGACCAAGTGGGATTTATTCTAGGAATGCAGGGATGGTCTGACAGAAAACCAATGGACAATCTAGCAGAACAAAGGGGTCACTCTGGATGCAGAAAAGGCCTTTGGTAACTTCAGACCCTTTCTTGAGTAAAACCCTAAAGAAGATTGGACTAGAATGGAAGTTCTCCAACATGAGCAAAGGCGTGTGAGCGCAGACAGCCGGCAGTGTGCTGCGGGCCTCGGAGCTTGCCCCTTGAAGCCGGGGCTGAGATGGACTCCCCTTCGCCCGTTCTCAGATTTCGTGGAGCAAGCAAAAAAAGAACAAGTTTTCCAGCTAAGTAAAATGATTTCTTTTTGTGGAGGATACGATCCTGTACAGAGGAAGGATCCCAGAGGGTCTAGAGCCGATGGAGGCATTTAGAAAAGGCGCAAGATCACACAAATCCGTGGGGTTTCTGTGTATTCACCTGTCCACGAGGGATCTGAAAGGGAAATTGGAAAAACAATTGCATTTACAGTAGCACCTAAGCATAACATACCCAGAAATGAATCCAACTAGGGACGTAGAAGACTTACACAATGAAAACATCAAAACAATGCTGAGAGAGAGCAAATACCTGGAAAGATGAACCACATTCATGGCCTGGAAGGCCGGCCCAGTCAGAATTCCAAGTTTCACTGCAGACACAAAAACAAATTCTCGACTTTGTATGAAAAGGCAAACCAAGGGTGTGGCGGCAGAGCTACCGGGGGAGCAGAGCAGGGAGTGCAAAGGATAGACTTTGGGGTCAGAGCGTGGCACCCCATCCGACTTGACTGGAGGACATGCTTAGAGGTCAAAAATCAGACCTTGGTATATTTACAGGTTGTTTTTGTTTGTTTTAATTTTCTTGGTTGTTGGTTTTCTTTGTTGTTGCCATCGTTGTGTTCTCTTGTCGCTTTGTCTTGCTGTGCCTTGTTTTTTGGTGCATATTATTATCTCTGCAGATCTCTCTAGATAAGATAGGCTGGATGAACAGTCTAGAGGAGAAAACAACGGGACTGATGGTTCCAGGGGGACATGGGAGAGGGGGAGGCAGGGATAAAGGAGGTGGTGTTGACCAACCCAGGGACAAGGGAGCAACAAGTGATCCAAAATTAGTGGCAAGGAGGGTGTGAGAGGCCTGGTAGGGATTCAGCAATGTAACCCAAGTGAAGGCTGAGCATGCTAGTGGGACAAGAGGAAAGTAAAAGGAAATAGAAGAAAGAACTACGAGGCAAAGGGCATTTATAGAGATCTAAATACAAGCATGTACACATGTAAATATATTTCTATAGGATGGTGGGGAAATAGATCTACATGCATATATTTATAGGTTTAGTATTAAGGCAGCAGAGATGGACATTGGACGTTCACTCAAGTGCTTAATGCAAGAATACATTGTTCTATTAAATTGGCATTCTATGATGCACACTTTCCTGACACTATCCCTGAAGACAAATGTGTACATAAGCAAATGTGGTGAAGCAAGCTGATTGTGCCCGGCTATCAAAAGATCTAGCATCTGGGGTCTTAAAGGCTTTCAGGTAAACAAGCGGCCATCTAGCTCAGAAGCAACAAAGCCCACATGGAAGTAGTACACCAGCTTGTGTGACCACAAGGTGTCGAAGGGATCAGATATCGGGCATCAAAGAACAAAAAAAATAATATCATTGTGAATGAGGGGGAGTGCAGAGTGGAGATCCAATGCCCATCTATAGGCAATTGGACATCCCCTTATAGGAGGGTCTCAGGGAGGAGACGAGCCAGTCAGGGTGCAGGGTAGCAACAATGAAACATACAACTTTCCTCTAGTTCTTAAATGCTTCCTCTCTCCCACTATCATGATCCCAATTCTACCTTACAAATCTGGCTAAAGCAGAGAATGTACACTGGTACAGATAGGAACTGGAAACAGGGAATCCAGGACAGATGATCCCTCAGGACCAGTGGTGAGAGTGGTGATACCGGGAGGGTGGAGGGAAGGTAAGGTAGAAAGGGGGAGCCGATTATAAAGATCTACATAAAACCTCCTCCCTGGGGGACGGACAACAGAAAAGTGGGTGAAGGGAGACATCGGACAGTGTAAGATATGACAAAATAATAATTTATAAATTGTCAAGGGTTCATGAGGGAGGGGGTGCGGGGAGAGAGGGGGGAAATGAGCTGATATCAAGGGCTCAAGTAGAAAGCAAATGTTTTGAGAATGATGATGGGCAACAAAGGTACAAGTGTGCTTGACACAATGGATGTATGGATTGTGGTAAGAGTTGTACGAGCCCTCAATAAAATTTATGTTTACAAAAAAGAAGAGGTAAACCCAAGAAAGCCACCACCACTGAGCTGATACGACTCACAGCAACCATTACAGGGCTTGAGACCAAATCTTTACAGGAGCAGAAAGCCTCATCTTTCTTTAAGAAACAAAAAGTTTTACTGATGTAAAATTCACATATCATGTACCCCGTTCTGTGGTCCTCTCTGCAGAGTGTCCTGTGGGTGCTCCTTGGACATCATCTTGAGACTGCTCGCAGAAAGCCTCATCTTTCTCCTGCAGAATGGCTGGTGGTTTGGGACTGCTGGCGGCCGACCTTACAGTGTGGCGCCCCTGCACCAGCAGCGCTCCCTTACAGAAAAGCAAAAGGCCCCACATGGCTGCAACCGTTGGAAGAGAAGGGCGAGGGAGGAGCAAGCACATTTTCTGGTTGTAAGGAGCCCTGAGAGCGTGATGAGCTACAGTTTGAACCCACAGCTCACTGCGCACCACAGGTCACTTTGAACCCACCAACCACACTGCGGGAGACAGAGGAGCGGAGACAGAGGAGCGCCAACAGATGGTGTCCTCCTTTGGTCCTCCGGAAAATCAGCAAGCAAAGTGGCGTGAGCGTCCAAACTCCCCATTGCCATCAATCCCCTTGTTCTTGACCAGTCTGCTTTTGCTGGGACTGGGCCACTCCTACCTCTTGGTAGCCATTGTTGTCATTGTGTTTTGTCTGCAGGATCATACTGCTAAGCCACTCATTATTCGTGTTATAATTCTTCAAGGAGATATTTATGATCTTGATTCCCTTGGTCAGAGTCTCCATGGAAAGCTCTGCTTTTACCTGCCAGCTCATCTGGGTGTAAAAGTTTGGGCAGGTCGGGAGTGGAATGTTCCCTCGACTTCAATTGTTCGGTGAGAATTCATGTAAGTGCCACCATGTGTGGCGTCTGTGACAGTGGTTCTATCGTTTCTCCTGGCCTTGTCGGTTGTCTTCAATGAAGCACAAACAAGATACTTTTTTTTTTCCTTCACAAATTGATGTGAATGGTCTGCCACCGCGGGCTTCAACTTCAACATCATCCCTTCTTAAGAAAAGTCATTCCCCTGAAAACTGTGGATTTGTTCCGGACATTGCCCCCAGAAACTTCTTGCACATTATTGCGCTGCCTCCCCCTCCAGCTTCCCCATACATGGGAAGCTTGTACTTGCTTCACGTTTAGCAGAATGTGTGCCCCTCATCAGGTGGGCTCTTTACCAACTGATGCCATGGCCTCCTTAATGGCTCAGACTCGATTCTGGTCAGACATGGAAAGTTAGTACAAGTTCTTTTGGTACAAACATTTTTCATTTCATTCCTGCAGAGTTTTTTCATAATATGCTTGATGGAACTTTTTGAAGACCCTCGTATAGTTGACAAAAATCTAGTAACCCAAAATTATATAAATAAATGGAACTTCAACTTAAAGACAACTCAGTCATAAAAGGGGCAAATGGCTTGACTATTACGTTTCACCAAAGAGGACCTTCAGGACATGCATGAAATCGTGTGCAGCGTCATTGCCCACCCCACCCACTGCCATCAAGTTGATTCTAACTTAGGAACCCTGTGTAGGGGGTCTGCTGCTCTAACCCATGACGGGAGCAAACAGCCTCGTCTTTCTCCCACAGCATGGTCGGTGGGTTCCACACACATCGCAGGTGCTTATCAGAGGTGCAAACGAAAACTTCAATGAGATAAAATTTCATTCCCACTTGAGTAGCTAGGATTAAACAAACGGAAGATAACAACTGTTGGGGAGGATATGAGGAAATTAGAACCCTTAGCCATTTCTGGTAGAAAGACAAAATGCTACAGCCATGGTGCAAAACAGTATGCGAAACAGGAACCCCCTCCACTCTGAGGCATATGCCCCCAGTACTTGAAAGTGGAGAGTCAGAAGAGAGACTGCTCACCCTCGCTCACTGCAGCACTGCTCAAAGAACCAGAAGGTGGACACAACCCAGTTGCCCATCGGTGGGTGAAGGAAAGGTGCTGCGTTCAAACAATGGAAGATTAAACCAGTAGGGGATAAGGGAACCGGAAAAACTGGGTCTCTGCCGAAGCTAAGCCAAAATGCTCTAACTCAGGCTTTGGGTGAGGAGAGAGTTGCATTGCCAGATTGATAACCCAAGGAGACGAAGGAAGGCTTCCTGTCCCTGTCTGCCCAAATGAAGAAAGGAGAGGGTTTTTATCTAATTAAAAACATGCCTCCCCCACTATCATGACCCCAATTCTACTTTACAAATCCAGCTAGATAGACCAGAGCATGTACACTGGTACAGATAAGAGCTGGAAACACAGAGAATCCAGGACAGATAAACCCCTCAGGACCAATAATGAGAGTAGCGCTATCAGGAGGGGACGGGGAGAAAGCGGGAATTGATCGCAATGATATAACCCCTTCCCAGGGGGACAGGCAACAAAAAAGTGGGTGAAGGGAGACATCAGTCAGTGTAAAACATGAAAAAGATAAATTATCAAGGGTTCATGAGGGAGGAGGGGGAAGGGGGAAATGAGCTAATACCAAGGGCTCAAGCAGAAAAGAAAATGTTTTGAGAATGATGATGGCAACACATATACAAATGTGCTTGATGCAATGGATGTATGGATTGTGATAAGAGCTGTATGAGCCCCCAATAAAATGATTATTAAAAATCCCAGAAGCAAAATAAAGGGCAGGTCTGGGAAAGGAACATGAAGAATGTTCAAGGTGGTTGTAGGGGTATTAGTCAGTAAACAGGTAGTCCTCTTGCCGGGTGCTGCTGGGGGTGGGGGTGGGGGGGGAAATCCTGTGTCTTCGTGCCCCATGCTACAACGACCAGTGACCGCCCGTGGAGCAATGATCCGACTTCTTCCTGCGAATCAAGACTACCCTTGAGCCTCGTTATTCTTTAACTAGCACCCCAAACAGGAATCACTTATTTTAACTGTTGTTGTTACAACTCGGACAAATCGTGCTCAAATCATCTGATGAAAGAAATGTAAGTTTAAAAACAGCTTGATGGTAATCCCTGCCCATTTCTAAACAAAGTCTTGATCCATGCTTAAAGACATCATGCTGAGCAAAACTTAGTAGATTATTAAAAAATGAATATGAGCAACTGATATTAAGGGCTAAAGTAGAAGGCAAATGTTTTGAGAATGATGAGGGCAACAAATGTACATACGTGCTTGACACAATGGATGTATGTATGGACTGTGATAAGAATTGTACGAGCCCCCAATAAAATAATTTTTAAAAAAGAACAAATATTGTATGACCTCACTTACATAAAAAGAGGAGAAAAGGTAAATGTATACAGAGCAAAGTTTAATAGTGGCTGTATGGCGTGGGGAGGGGAGAGCAGAGAGGGGGGTTAACCTTGATGGGAAAAATTATATTGGCTAAGGGTTGGGTTGTAATTGCTGTCAATAGCTTATAAACCCGTAAGAAATTGAATTGGCAAAAGTGC